TTCCAACAGTGACATTAAAAATAACAAACCTATAGAGATATTCAGTAAAATTTAAGGTATATCTATTTTTTAATATAAATTTCCAAATAAAAATTTTCGTTAAGAATGCACATTTTATGATAAATTGGGGTTATGAAAATTTTGCGTCGCCGGTGTATAAAATAAATCTGCTCTTTTTTCCTCAATTCTTCCACTTCAGTTTTATGAGGAGGGTGGTTAATTAATTATTTAATAATCATTACAGTACACAAGAGCTCCGTTTCTTTCATCCCGACGCCGACGCTCTTTTATGGTACACTACAAACCCTAAAATATGGGTGGTTTTAATAACCTAAAAAACATTAAAACTGCCACACTTTAAGTCCTTCCTAGATTACATGATGAAAAACGTTAATATACTAAATTAAAAACGTAGGAACTAACACGAGCAGTAATACTTCCATTACACCATTCACTACAGGTATTAAAAAATAACCAGTACAGGTTAGGAGTGAAATATTGTACATTAAATAATAATTTTACTAGCAATTTTCACAATAAACGTAAAAATAAATAACATTACAAAATGGTAGCAACTAACAAGAAACATGTAATATGAACTGTAACAATTGTTCAGTGGAAAAATTCACCACAGCTGTATAAACACTTGTTTAAAAACTTTTGACGGCACCTTTAAATATAAGTATAAATATTAGAGAAGAACTTAATTTCTGTTAGTAAATGATTGATTATTATAGTTAACGTTTTCCCATCTACACTATACCGAACATACATTTGTAATTTGACAACAATCGATCTGGTAGTTTCGGAGATTAATATAAGCTCCGGGGTCTAATCAAAATCGACACCAACAGACGGCGGACAGACGACGGGCAGACAGACGGAAAGGGAAGATTTATTGCTTCGATCATGAAACGTCCAAAAAACCATGAAATAGGCATTCGTGGCAAATATGTCGGAAGTAAAAATTCCTAAAATATTACCCTATAATTTTTTCAAATAGATCATTCTCTATTTTTTACCGCATCTGATTTTTATTAGGTTGTTCTTGATATTTCGGTATTTCTGCAAAAAAAAATAAATCAAAAACGGCAAAAGCCATTGACTTCATGAAAGTACTTAACAAAAATATCTGAAAATTGCAACATTTTAGAATTTTTTAGGAATACACTTCCTTTCATCATTTATCCATGAAGTACTACACAGATTTCAAAAATAACCCAATTGCAGTTTTTGTGAACCTCAGCACTGCTGAGATATGTCAAAAAAATTGGTCGAAGGTTATTTCGACAAAAGTTCCCTAATCCTTCGAATAAATACAGTTTCGAAAAATTATCAAATTTAACTTTGAGAACTTTTTGTTGTTGTTATTATCACCCTTATGAGCTAAAATTAATATATGGAATTATAAATTAAAGTACAGGTAAAGAAGCATCGTATGGATATGTTTCTCGTGAGTCTTTCCATTTAAAATTTTCGATGACGTCATCAATATTTTAGTAAAGACACGTATCTCAATTTGAATAGGTGCAGTGTAATACTATTAATAACAGTACTATTGATAAACCACTAGTAGCGACTTTTAATATTGTGCATATTTTAGATTTTGGGAGGAGATAACGGATAAATGTTTGACTCTGCGTAAAACGTTTGCAAGAATTCAAAGCATTCGGTTTTGCAGTTTCAAAGTTAAATTGCAATGTTCATACACAATTTTGATTTTTTTTCCAAAAATCACACAATCAAAATTTAAATAACATTTATTCGGCACAATCGCAAGATGATGTCATCAGTTTTTAGGGGATCGTAAATGGATAAATTTTGTTTAATGATTTATCATCTTCCTTAAAATGTTTGCATTCGGTTTTGAAATTTCAAAGTTAAATTCTAAAATGTTGTTATACAATTTTGATTTTTTCTACAAAAATGTGGATACCTAAGCTAAAAACTCAACTCGGATTCATAAGTTACAAGTGAAACAGTATGTTATTTTATACAAATTAAATAACATTTACTATTGTAAAAGTTGGAGATGACTCTATATCATCATTGGGGGGAGGGTGGTAAGACAAATTTTGGTTACCGTTTCACCATCTACACGATATTCCAAATATACACATAAAATTTGACAACAATCGATCAAATAAACAATTAAGCTAAGGAAGTATTGTCATCGTGTGCATCAGGCGACTGGTTACTTTTATGTTTTCTCGACATTTCATGACCTCTAGAAGACGACAACATAGCTCTCTCGTTTCCGTCTGTCTCTCTGCCGTCTGTCCGCTTTTGTGCCGATTTTTACAGATAATCTCCGAAACTACTAGACGGGTTGTTGAAAAATTTTATAGATAATTTGGGAATATTCTGTAGACGGTAAAACACTAACCAAAATTGGCGTGATCATCCCCACCAAAAATTGTATGACCTCAGCTCAAAATTTTGTATGGTAAATGTTATTATAATTTTATAAAATACAATACTTCTTATGAATCTATTTTTTTAGAATTGCGTATACAAAAAAATTAATTACACTTCAAGTATCCAAACTGATGTAAGTGGTTTAGCTAAAATGTTGATAACGTCGTTGCAAAGAAGTTTTATATGTACATGAAGCTTTCAACTTAAAGCTGATTTTAAAACATTTTTTCCTTCACGTTTTCTTAATAAATAATAGCGTTACATACTTCAGACAATTCTTCTTATTTTGATAAAATTCCGGTTAATTCTGAAAAGTTCTACAAAATTCGATACAACTTTCATGAATTTTTAAAGTCATCTGATGTTACAATATTATTGCCATAAATTCCAATAGAATTTTTGGTGGGATCGATTGAAATTTTGGTTAGGATTTTACCATTTACATGATATTCCTAATATACATACAAAATTTGACCGCAATCTATCTAGTAGTTTCGGAGATTATGTGTCTCAACAAAAATCAACAGAGACGACAGAACCATTTATGGGATGAACCCTATTGCAATACTTTCTTAGCTTAAGCTTGGGAAGTTAATATAATTATATAATAAAAACGTGTAACCTGTAGCGTCATTTAAGTCCGACAATGCTCTAACAACCTCTCTGGTAAGGATCCCCATCAAACAATGACAAATATGTATTCGTCTGAACTTTAGGTAAATCTAACAGTTATAATCAGAAAAATACATACCTGCTAACTACAAACACAAACAACAAGCAAATATTTTATTACTGTACTTGACCTTTACAAACATCTCAGTTAAGTCCATTATAAAGCAGAATAAATGCGGTATTGTTCGGGGTTTGACGACCGCTAAACCTCGGTCGAGATCTGTACCGTATGTATAATTTTCCGGACTAGATTTAGTTTACAAAAATAATGTGATTACACACATAACACAATTTTAATTCATAAGTAGATTTGACCTCAGTATGACACAAAACAACTGTATTAGACTATGGTAATCATATTTTCTTTTATAATTATACTACAAGCTATTCTCCAAAAGAAAAAGTGTCGTAGTGACAGAAACAACGCTCCTGAAGAAATCCGTGTAAATACTAATCAAAACAATAATCTCAAATCACTCGATATGATAACCATTTAATTTGATAAGCTCGATTTGGGGGCCACCAGCTAATGAAACTAACTGGTAATAACAATTCAATTAAATCGCAGCTCGAAAGCGATCACCATGAAGCGATTACCGAACAAATGAAAAGAAACTTCACAATTACAACGACTGGAACGCCTACATCGTGTGTTCGCAGTGATAATTGTCTCCTCACTCAGAACAGTGGTCCTCAAACATCGTCAAAAAAACGTTATTTATCTCGATGTTCATTCACTCATTCATTCCAATCTGTAATTAGAACGATTCTACAAACAACCGTTAATTTGTTTAAAGTATTCATTTAAAGTACACGCGATATTGTCAACGCAATGATTTTAGTTGATCCCGAACGTCAAATAACGCATTTTTATTTATATTTAGGCATAATATATCACTTCCTTAATCAGTTATTTTGTTTTTTAAATTTATTTTTTATCAAGATTCGTTATAAAGTGTTCTGTCACTCCAGCCTTCGTGGACGCTTAGCATGTTAAATAAGACGATTAAACGAAGGTCTATGTCAAATTTTTTCCGCTATTTTTCCTAATTTTCCTCCTCTATTTAAATACATTAAAATTCTCCCAAGAAGGCCGAAGATGAATATTTAACACATTTTTAATGGGTTTCCATTAAAAAAATCCTCTTTGATGAAATAACTCATAAATATTAATTCCGAAAATACATTTGCTCCGTCGAAGCGCATGCATGATCGATGCAAACCGCCAATTTCTGCGTCTGATTCACCAATTTCTGCGTCACGTCCTGCATCATCCCCAATCACGTCAATTTTTTCCTTTTCCCTGCAATCACCCTTTATCACGTTCCGCCTCTTCGCGAAGAAAAACACCTCGCCGTTATTTATATTGCGGCGTGAACATTATTTGCGCGGTAAAACAGAAAATTTAGGACTAAAGTATCTATCATAAATTATGTGCATACATTTGAATGATAAAAATGCAGAGGAAAAAAAAAGCGTGATAGAATGAAGCCTCCCTGTAAACGACGTTTCTTATAAAACCTCTCAACGGGATTCGCTCCGAATGTCGTGTGTATAACATAATCATATTTTTTTGCGTCGCTCGTCGTCGATATTTTTGCAACGGAATTCAATTTGCGGGATGAGTTTCTAATTGAATAACAAAAACCATCAATTAAGTGAGAGTTAATTAATCTGGAAGTGATTGGGTTAATTGCTCAATTAAAACTTGGCTGTTCGGTTTTTTCTTTGTACAGTAATAACCTTGTCGAGTTGTTAAAAATTCTCAGGGGATGATAACGCTAAGAGGGTGATGGAGTCGAGAGCGCTTCGTTTGCCACCCGAACGTGATTGGATCTTAAAATTGTTGCTTTTAAGGAGCATATCGTTTTATTTTTTCTGGGATTTTAATATGGGATAAGTTCTCTTACCACGTAATCGGATGGATCCATTATTTGAGTCCGGGTCCTATTCTCTTCGTCGACGAACGGATCCATTCTCACCGCACATTTTTAATAACCTGAAAGAGAATTTTTAAATAACACTATGAGTGAGAAAAAATGGAAAGGCAAAGAATCAATTGACCAGTTTCGGATTTTAATATTTTTTCGCAATAACAATGTGTTTTTTGTTCTCGCGTCGAACAAAAGCGCTGAATATAAAATAGAACTTAAAGGATTCTGTATTCTCCCTTGCTCTAATTTTTTTCAGCGCGGTGGTTTTAATTCCAAACACATTGAAAAATTCCAGGGTGCATTTATAAATTCGGTTCAGTGTGAGTTCGTTTTTATTTGATTAACTGAATTTTACAATTCGTTTCCTTAGATCATTAACAGCTTGTATCCTTGAAGCAATCACGCAAGGTTGTTACTAAAATAGTACCGCTTTTTATGTCTTAAAATAGTAAGTGTTCGGGGTTAGCATTCTTACGTTTACAAATTACATTCATGTTTTCAGAAATGTTGGAAAATAATGTCACTTCCTTTTAATCCTATCAGCGAAAAGAGGATTAGCCTAAAGCAGGACAAATTTCACGGATAGAGATTAAAAGTGACTACGGTCTGACATGCTATCTATGGTCAACGATACTGGAAAAGTGTAACTTCCTGAATTCACGGTGAAATTTCAAAGGCAATCCTAGATTTTTTACTTCTCGATATATTTAACATACCCATGGTATTGCAAAAACAATAAAAGTTAATTTTGTATTTTTTTATAATGGAGCGTTAATTCTAAAATATTACTTATAGGAATCAAACTATAATCAAGTAGTTGTTCGTGTAACCAGGCAGGAAAGTGTTCTTTTTAAGGCGTATCTAACTAACCATGTGACTGAAAAATTAACTTCACTAACGAAATACACACATTTATGTAGAATACTAAATGCACTTTAGCTTGATGTTATAATAAACGCTACATTTATAATTTAACGACGTATTGAGCTTTACATGCTATGCACTTAAAGAGAATCTCTGATAAAGTACGCTTTTAATGACAATATTTACTTCTATAATCATACAAGACATCGGCTGAATACAGATTGCACTGATGCTAACTCAAGCACATAGTGCTTGCAATACCGAACTTTCAACGTTTGCGTTTCAACAGTGTTGAAATATTCGGTGTTGCCAAGATAATAACGTGTTCCAGTCAACATCGTCACTATTACCATGCACAAACTATACAGGTGTACAGTCGTTTCAACTAAATATTAGTGATAATGTATATAAAAATAAATTAATTAATTTCGCACAAAACAAATATTCGAACGTTTGAGAAAGTCGACAGAGATCGATTTTACTGAAAATTTCCGGACGCGTATTCCATTGATTTGAAATGCCAAAACATTGAAAAATAAATTGAAACAATATTTCAGTAATTTTAATGTTTTCTAAAAATCATTTTTTTTTAATTTCGATGAAAGTTTACTTGCTTCATAGACTTAGACATCCTTATCTCTAGAAATTCAAAAGAAATCGAGCTCGCGAAACCTTTTCCAATACTTCACTATTTATTATTCCTAGGATTTATTTATTTAAGCTTTTTGCAAATTTACCTCAACTCGATGGATTTGAAATTTTACGCCATCTTAGTACTTGTGGCAGCACTTGTTTATTCATGTCGATGCACTTTTTTACCATGGTTAAAGTCTATAAAAAAATTAAAAGAATCGCTTCTTAGAAACATTTTACTTATCGCCACTGCGAATAAATTTTACTTTTTTACTGAAATACCTTATTATTCACGCTTATCAAGTCATAAGCCATTTAAATTATTAAGAAAGATCTAAATTACACATGTATAACTTTATTATTTATTACTTAGCTTTTAGTTCATGTTGATAACAGCTGATTAAATTTAAAGAACAATAATTTAAAAAATATGTAAAACTTCCATTTAAACTTTGTACTACAAATGAACATATTTCTTAGTAAAATTTCATTTACTAAGGCATCATTAGCTTGTTGATAACAGGGAACAATAGTTAGATATTAAATTAGTTTGCTACTATATCGTTAAGTTCTTTGTGCTTAAATCATTCCAATGTACCACTGAAATCTTAAAGTATTGTCTCTTTTTAGTTTTTTGATGGAAATTTATTTCTTTTACACAAACCCTTATAAGCAAAATTAAATAAAAATAAATTAATAATAATCTACATGGAGTCAGCAGACCAAAAGCAGGCATTACCAAACTTAAATCGAGTTACATTTTGTACCATAAAAATAATAAAAAAGTGTTAATACTTAAAACATCCGACAAAAAAATGGACCTTAAAAAGTTTAAATTTGGTTAAGATTCGCTGCGACGGTCGACACGCTTTACAAGTTGATTGCTGGACCAATTGTGTTATGCGTTAACGACCTTGAAATGGCTGGAGTAATTATCATCAAACTACGCTAAGGGGGTGAAAACTACTGGCTTAATTTGTATGGGAAAAATATTTGTATTGTAAATGTAAATTTTCACATGAAACTTGGTATTAATGCTCTTCAACACAAATAATGAAACACGTATTTAAGCATTTTCGGAGATTCAACCCCTAAGGGAATGAAAAGTGGTGGCTAACTTTGTATAGGAAAAATATTTCTATTGTAAATTTAAATTTTTACGTGAAACTTGGTATTAATGATCTTCAACACAATTAATGAAACACGTATTTAAACATCTACCGAAATTCAACCCCAAAGGGGGTGAAACGTGATGACGAAATTTGTATGGGAAAATATTGCTACTGTAAATTTTTAGATGGAACTTGGATTAATACTTTTCAACACAAATAATGAAACACCTATTTCAGATTTTTTCAAGATTCCACCCTTAACAAGATGAAAGGGGGTGACAAAGTTTGTAAAAGAAAAAATATTTTTATGTCGAGTTTTACTGGAAACTTTGTATTAATGTTCTGCAATACATTTTTTTACTTGAAGCTTGCTAATAATGCTCTTCAACGAATCGTCTACGCGAGCGAAGCCGCGGGCGAAAAGCTAGTAATATTATATTACTACTTCAAACCACGAAGACGATTCAATAGAAACTTTTTATGAAAACAAGTTTTAAACCTCATATAGAACAGACTATCAAACTTATTAATTGTTAGTTTATTAGCGAGATGTAGTAAATTTAATCGGGATGAATAGCATTTACGCAGTGAACAGGTTGTTTTAGGAAAACGGGCAACCAAATATGGACATGACGTCCAATTTAAAGTAAAAGTAAAATATCTTATATCATCTGACACAATCCAGGAATAAATAACAAGGAAAGTAACTATTATCAACGGGATCAATGCAGGTAATGAGCAGAGATTGCTCAGAACCAAAGCATATGTAAAAATACGCAATAAAAAGAAAGAAGAAAATATACAAAAAATCGATCTAGAAAAGGTAACAGAAAAAAGAACGCAGAGTCAAGGAAAAATTACAAGAAAGAAAAACAAACGATGATAACATAAAAGAACGTGCAGATTTACTAACTCAAGTCGTTCAAGAAACTAGAAGACAAAGAGGAAAAATACCTCAAAAAGGGCAGCAATAGCCCAATAACACAAAAACACTATTTGTAGGACGAAAACAGCACAAAGTAGATATAGACGTAAAGAAATATATATCAGGTAATATAATACAAAAATTATAAAACAAATAATAATGAACAATTGGGACCCAATGATTTTCTAAAAAAAAACGAGTGAAAATAAGTTAGAAGTAGAATCAATAAAAAATTCTGTAAGAAATATAATATCAAATAGAAGTAAAAATTGAAAGGCCACCATACAGAGCTGTTGTCAAGCAAAACTTATCCAAATGCTCAACCGAAGGAAGTCACACAAAACATATCCCAACAAGAACTGACGAAGTAATGAACGAAGTACTTAAGAAGCTAAAAAACAACAAGACTGGTAGAGTTGACGGTATACCAGAAATATGGAAAGCAAGAGGACAAAAACTGATGAGCAAACTTCGACTACAACAACAAGATGAAGTCCCGCATTCCTGAATGAAAGGTGAAGACGGTTTGCGTCAGAAAAAGAAAACATCAAGAAAAATAACAAACATACAGGGTGGCTAAAAACTATGGAAGTAGTTAAATATCGCGAGAATATTTTCTGAATCGTTTTGAAATTTAGGCTGTCCCTAGGAATGAATACTCAAGTTCTATTTTTTATTTTTTTTTTCAAATTTTGTACTTCATTTTTGAGATGCAGGGCTAGCTAACTTGTCTAGTTGTCAAATGCTCCGTTTTTAAATAGTGCATTACCAGGTACAAACGTAACAGAATGGTATGAAAGCTTTTTGAAAGATTTAAATAAAAAATTACGTCGTTGAAAAAAGATCAAATTAACATATAACAACCAATAATTTTACAACAAATGTTCCAAATGTTCTTCATTTACTTCCTCACAATATTAAATACGTTGCACAAAGTTTTCAAATGAATCTGTTAGTATATTATGAGGAATATCAGCAATTACATTTAATATTCTTTCTTGGAGTCCTTCGATGCTTTATGGTTTATTAACATAAACTCGATTTTTTACATAACCTCGCAGCAAGAGTCAAGTAGGGTTAAATCGGGTGACCTAACTGGCCACACATCTACTCCCCTTAATCCTATCCATCTTGCAGGAAAAGTTACATTCAAATAATGCATTTTCCCGTTTGAGTATTTTTTGAACTGGGCCTCTACTCATATTGTGGTTTAATACCAATTCCTGCACTGAAGTTTTTGGATTTTCAGTTACATCTGACATGATATTAAATATTGGTCTTCCGGTTCTTTGACGATTTCTAACATTACCTGGATATAGAAGTTTGCTTTTCAATACACACTGACAAATCGATGTCAGTATTTTCAAAGCTAACTACAGTTTTCTATTTCAGAATTTATTCATAATAAATAATTTATCATTTTATTTGACGTTTTAGTTAAAAAAGTACATTCATGTATTACAGTTCTAAATTCAGGAAAAATTCTTCCAACTTGACTAGTGCTATTTAAAAAAATCAAGTTAGTCTTGCATCTTGAAAACAAATGAAGTTTAAAGTTAACAAAAATACAGAAAATAGAGCTTGAGTATTTTTAAGTCTAGCCCAAATTTCAAGAAGATCCAACAAACCGTTCCCGAGATATTCAAGTGCTTCAGTATTTTTTACCAACCCTGTATAAACTTCTCACAAGAATATTAACAAGCAGAATAGGAAAATTGAGTTCAACAACCTCGTGAATAACCAGAATTTAAATCATGCTATAGCACATGCGATTATCTACATGCTGGCATAAGTTTAATTGAGAAATGTAATGAATATAACTTAGAATTATATTTAGCTTACTATCAAAAGGCATATAATACTATAAGAACCTCACTAGTACTAAACTCCCTAAATTATTGCCAAATCGATACACCAACCTCACTAAAAAAAGATTTACGCATCAGCAAAAATACACCCTTTTTTTAGAAAAGAAGTACAAGACAACAAATCCCGCTTCTTTGACGAATTATAAAATTTGATTTTAGTAAATTTTACTAATAAAGTAGCACAGTTTAAAAAAAAAGAAAGGTTCATGAGGGGATCGAACCCGCAATCGTTTTCGCGTTACAAATCCTAGGTCTCCGTGCGCGTTGCTTATAAAAGTTTGAATTACAGTTTACATTTTTTTTGAGAAACATTTAAATGCGTAGGAGAAAAGCTAGGGGCAAATTCATAAACAATATTTTTTAGAAAGGACTATATTATTCTATAAAATTTCAATAATATTTTATGTACATATTTTTGAAGCGATGTCATCAAATTGTTGGTAACAATTACACTAGTTTACAAGGTTTTATATCCAAAGACAAAAATAATTGAATCTAAAGGATTTGGGTTCGGGAAATTCAAATCTGAAAGCAGAAAAAATCCATCACGTCAGGTTTTTGAGATATTTATATAAACATACCCCGTATTTCTTTTCTTTTATACAACTCTTGTAATTTTTTTATTTTTAAATATATATGAACATATAGTCCTTTGAGCAAATTTGTATCATTTTAAAAGATCATTTACATAAATAAATAACATGAGTCAATTTTTCAAGCTAGATTGTCATCAATGTTTTATTTAAAAATTTTTCAAGTATTGATTTTAGAATAATTGGTTGCTTTTGATTTTTCTACGGGAAGTGATAATAAAAATGTGAGGTTGGCCTCACAAAGATCTTTTAAAATGATACAAATTTGCTCAAAGAAGTATAGGTTTATCTTTAAGCATAAAGAAGTTACAGGGGTTGTATCAAATAAAAGCAACACCCAGTATATGTTATAAACATTATGACCGAAAATTAAAATTGATTAACACTTTCTTTTATTGGCAGTACTGTCAGTTTCCCTTATAATAGACGAACAGTAACACATTTTCGTCCCAAAACCTTGATACCTTCTTTTTAAGCATATTTGAACAGGTCTTCCAGCTTTAGGTACTATAATTTTACCACAAACGTAAGAAAACTGATTTGGACTTACTTTGCACGATCTCGAAGACATTTTTTATGCGACAATGGTGCATTAACATGAATCAGTTTAACACTAACAAGAAGGTAAAAGCAAAGTTCATTATTTTGGATTTATGAAAAACCCTGACGTGATAGTGATTATCCGTTTTTGGATTTGTTATCAGTAAGTAATTTAGAAGTAGAAAATATTTTTTTTTATTTTTGGATACGAAAAAAAGTTTAAATTTGTAAACTAGTGTTATTATACAAATCTTTGTTAGCGCTTTACCAGCTACACGACATTCATAACTTACATCTAAAACTTGACATCGGACGGCGGACAGACTATCGATAACGGTAGACCTATTTTTTAAGTTCTCTAGGGGTAATGAAACGTCGAGAAATCATGAAAATACTCATTCGCCCAATAAACCTTATTACAACACAATTATGAGTTAAGGCAACCTAAACTAAGTATATCGGCCGTAGATAATTCGTTTCAAGTTTGCCGACTATATTGTTCTAGTAGTAAATAAGTATCGACTTTGTGCAAAAAATGCACAAAATTAGTCGAAGATTATCTCTTGAGGACAGAAAATGACAACAAGAAAGGACAACAGGAGGGATGAAATACTGACAGAAATCTATCTTTCTTGGCAACTGTTAGAAAATCAAAGCACATATTTTCATCCGAAACAATAAACAATGTGAAAGAAGAACTGTACAAACAAAAAAACGAAAAAATTATCTAAGACGCAAACCGCTCACAAATAATACTGGGAATCAGACTAATAAATTGCAAACGAAACACTTGGTTAAGGGAGAACACCGAACTATCAGACTTTATAGGGAGGCGGGCTAGCCACGTCGCTCGAACAACAAATAACAGGTGGACAAAAAGACTATCAGACTGGAAATCCAGATTGGATTGAAATAGGCAGATTGTAGTTATTATTATGATTGCTATTTTTTATGACAGATTCTATGATGACGTCATCAATTTTTTGTGGTAACATAATACATTAGTGTTTACAAACTCAGTGTGACATTAACAGTATAGCTATTGCATCCCCATAGTTTCAAAAAACCTAGATAGACCTCTGTTAAATTATATATCGTTTTATTCCTTTAATTAACACATCATTTAAAAACGTACAGACTGGTCAAGAAATGGTGCACTACTCAACGGTACATTATTAAATACACAAGTCAATTTGACGTTTACGAACAAAAACTTAATCAAAAAATGTAAAAAAACTGGCCACTGCTCTCAGCTCCATTCTTAACAATTTTTGAGTTTTTTGCGATGTTATAAAATGAAAAACACGATGGATAAAGATATCTCCAAAAATTATGTTCCATAATGAAATTTCAGTCGATATCATATACCCAACATTAAATAATGTATTAAACTATAGTGAAATATCGAAAAGAAAAATTAAACTTTGAAGTTAATTAGTCTTCTACATTTGGGCCCAAGGATTTTTTAAATTATTTTTTCCCTACTCAATAAAAAGTATCATAGAGTTAGTGCACCATTTTTTGAACACCCTATATGTTTTATTAAGAAACTGATCCTATTACAATACTTCTTTTAATTCCACAACTAAATAAAATTGTATGAGACAGAAAAGTACATAGTCAAGTGGCAATTTCCTCAAAAAAATCTTAATTTCCGAGAAAAATTTACTTCCGGCGATAAAAAGGCCTCGAATAATTAACGTTTAAAACTTCCCGGAAAAATTAAGTGATCATAGTTACCTGTGTAAAGATATTTTACAAACGTCAGAAGCAACTTATCGTTTTCCCGTTTATCAATTTTTTTTTGGTTATGATAATTTTACCGCAAACAGAGACGAAAACAATAATGAATGGGACATTTAATTAAGTGTGATTTACTAATTTCATAATTTCCTAAATTTCGCTAATTTTAACCGATTGAGAAAATCCATTAAAAAAATACACACCAATTTCTATGCCTAATATTTCTCAGATTCGCTCGAATCTTTGCACTTTCTCGTTCATTACAACACATTCTGCACAACTTTGTTCACTTTCTAACCCAAAAATATCTAAACAACTTGAAAAAGCGACACAAATTTTACTAACAATGCGAGTAACAATGCAGACAATAATCTCACTCTGAAACGTCAACCGATCTACGCCTTCTATGTTTATTTATAGTTTTCAGTTAGCACAACGACATGAAATGTTATAAAAAATCAAAATGAATTAATTCATAACTAATTATTGTATTGGAAAAATATTACAGCACACTTCCAAGTATTTTTTTTTATATGGATGGATCAAAACAATAAAATGGAATTTTTGTCACTAATGTGGAAATTATACTCTGTAACGTAAATGATAAAAAAATATTTTAATGGCTCCAGAAAAAACTGGAATTGTCAAAGTTAGCATGACAGATTACTGTGTGAATTTTTCTAGTTTAAACGGGACTATTCTGAATTGCTTAGAACAATAATGTCACTTTAAAAATTTTGTGTCAAAATGTTGACAAATATTTAACAGATTTGTCAAATTGACAAGTAAGGGACAGGTACTTTCTACATTGTACAAAAATTTCATTCCCGTTTTTCTGGAGCCAACTGTACATGTGTGCAATTTTACAGTTTGTCTCAAAAAGTTCTAAACAAATTGCTCTGAAATTAATAGACGGATGCTTTAAGATTATCTGACAGAGCACTAATCACAATTTGTCTATTCATTTCCTTTAAAATTTAATGACGTCACCTCAAATTTTGCGAAGTAATTTTGATTTAAAATGTCTAAAACAATATGAGTCTAAACGTGTGGTTTGTTTAGTAATAATACTAATAATCCACAGTTGCTACAAACATTTCTCTGTGAAGAAATCTGTATCGATCTAGACACTCAGACCAATTTTTTAAGTGGTTAGTGTATCGAATTGACTTAAGCGTTAAATAAATTGAAATGATGCTGTAAATGCTAAAACGTTTTTTTTTTCGTTTTGTACGATTTTAAGTGAAAAAAAATATAAGACAATTTTTCAAATAATTTTTATAGCATTTTTATAATCACTTTTAAGTAATTAAAATACTAAACTGGAAATAACAAGTACACTTGTAGCAAGAATAAAAAAGTAGACTAATTTCAGCTATAACTATAAAAATTCATATTCACAAAAATTATCATAATGTCTCATAATATCATGCAGTGAAGACAGTTTGTAGCTGAGTCATCTTTGGATCTGAAATCGTACCATCATTGATCAGTGAAATTTGATTTGTATTCGAAATTAGTACATACACGCGATTTCATGTCCAAAAATAACCTATTATGAGTTTATAAGTTATAAGTTTGTCTGATTTTAATATAGTTATTATATTAAATCGTTAAAAAAAACAAATCAAATATGCCTTAGTAAAAGAAAGTCTTGAAGTCATGAACCAACTGTAATAACAAAATTAATTACGAAAATGATTAATAACAATACAAGTACAAGTAATTATCAGCCAGCCAGTAGCCATTGGAGAGAATGACAACTAATTCGATCATTAAAGTAACCCTTTGATCTGATTTTTTTTAAATAATAATTTCCATTTAGTACTCCACAGGGTGTTGACGTCTTAAATATTTCGCCAAATTATATGTAAATATTAAGCAAATAGTTTTTTCTTTGTAAAAACAATAATTTTTTCATTCCAGTATTAAACTATAATACCTTCAGTTTTTTACCTAATTTCCCTAAGTACACAGATTTTTTACCATAAATTAATTACTCTTAAAACCAAATATAAGATTTAATTCCGCATAAAAATATACGCATTTTCCCCAGTAGTCTTTTAATCATAAATGCACTAAAAACCCACAACGCAATACCAACATAACATGCTCATTTTCTGCACTTTGCTAATTAAAATTACCAACTTTTTTTCATACAAAAAATACCGCTTATTATCCACCAACCCCAACTAGTTTTTCTCAAGTCAACAACCCCGAAACATCCCCTTCCGCATCAATTTTTTTCCTTCTGCTTGAAATTTTTCAAACGCTTCGAACCCCCAATCACTTTGCTCAACTCGTCGTTTAGGCGCCCAATAAAAAAGACATTCTCAGTTTCCCTTCTGACACAAAGAAAATTTAAACAAACATAAAAAAAAACAATCCCAGCGGAATACCTACCGTCAGCGCTAAAAATTCTTTGCGTGTTATCTCCCGAAAACAAGCTCGTTGTAGCTCACTCGGTCACGATCGCAACACGACTAGCGCCTCCGTGTTGCTGGTTGCTTCACCTGCTGGAGCGCATTCGTATTAAGGGAGTTAGCTTCGAAGGCAAAGTATACACCCCTAAGCCGCTAAAACGCAAAAATGTATCGAAAGTATATGTTTTGAATCGGAATGAGGATTAAATAGCAAATAAAAATAAAAAATCAAAATTAAATGAACTGTTTGGAAAATCTGTCGCATTATAAATTATAATTTCATAAAAATGTGGTATCTGAAAACCATGATAAAGCCTGACAATGACCTATATATGAGTTCATAATATCCACATATGACTCTCTGACATGATCCTGTGTATGTATGATCAATTAATCACCGTAACAACTGTTACTTGTAGTGGACAGAATTACTTTGTTTCCAATGTAAACAAAGCCTACGCAAACTGCTCTACAATACAAAGTGTTTACGTAGTTAAATAAAGTATGGGTTGAGAACCTGATTAGAAATAGTAATTAAAAGCGATTATGAACGGCTATTGTTAGTTGAAATACATATTTTTTAATCAATACTTTGTATTTTTAGAAGAGACAATAACGACCTCATTTTCAATATTCATGTTCTACTACCGACTACACAGCATAGACTTTCAAGCAGCTAAAAAATAAAATAAGCCACATATGTATTTATGTGCAGCAGCTTTCAACAATTTTTGCATGACTTTTTTTTCCTTAATAATGCCTAAAACGATTATTAACGGTGAAGAATCATATTTAGACATTTTAGTAATTGGATTTTTTTGTTACTAGAACAAAGTTTGGTTAGCGTTTACCATCTACACGATATTTATAAAATATTTACCTACTTGTAAAATTTGACAACAATCGGTCCAGTGGTTTCCGATATTATTTGTCTAATAAAAATGGCCCAGGAGGAAAAGGGGGCATATTTTTTGTACTCTAAGCGTCGCAAACGGCGATAAAACATTAAAGTAGCCATTCGACGGATCGACCCTATTATACTCTTATTAGGTTACACTCGGAAAGTAAAAACACGACAATTTCAACTTGACCTGGAAATTTCCAGATGCATTTTTATTAAAAAACCGTAAAAATATTATTCCTATGCTCTTAACATGCATTTGCATAAAACCCGAGCTCCGTTTATTACGTATCCTGATACACGTTCGCATTAGACTGTAGAGAAGATTATATTTTCAAGCATTAAAAAAGCCAGTTCCATTTATTTCTACAGTCACAATTATTTCAAATATTTTTTTCAAAGGTACTCGATCGTATGTATAAGTATTCAAGTAAACTAAATTGTTTTCGTAAGAGAATATTTCACTGGTTCAAAATGTGCTAATTAATTAAAATTAATTTTAGATTTATGTTGCACTGCTCTAATTTAAATCTTTAGCATCTTTAATCGTGGTAGAACACCGTACTCTCCTATTTCAGTGAAAAAGCACAGTATCTGTTACTATTTGTAGCCAATATTTTATTATATTTATAAGGCATATCTTTATCGTAAATTAATGAGATTTTTAAAAAGAAACTTTGTTGACTATACTAGGCAAAAGAGTCAAAAGTTTTGGCAACGGAACAAGTCGGATCCTTTTTGTGAACACTAAAAGATATTTAATATACATGCGTCAAAAATGCAAGGGTTATTTCAAGATTTTTTTGCCCTTTGATGATTTCCGGAAACATACTTTGTTTCAGAGATAAAAGCCGATATAAGTTTTTCAAAAAAAGCAATACTCTATTAATTCATATTACAAAATCTCTTTATTTTCCCCTGCAGTAGTGTACTACACTGTTATATTAAATATAAAACATTGGTCGAAAGTTGCGTCGAGAGAACTTCCCTCGCTCCTGAAGTACATTGAAACATCCAGTTTTTTCGAAAAATTGTAAAATTTGATTTTGCGGGTTTTATACTTTTTTAAAACGCCTATGAATTGAAATAAACATATGTAAATCTGTAATGCTAAAGTAAATGTAAAGAAGCATGCTACGCGTATGTTTCAAATAAGTTTTTACTGTACAAAATTTTGTGACGACGTCAATCATCATTTTTGCAAGAACACTTATTTGAACTTAAGTTGATGCAGTAATACTAATAATAACGTATTATATTCTCCCCCCCCCCCCTCCCCAATTTTGGGAAAAATAGACTGAGCCGTTCTTGATTTAATAATAAATTAATTTATTCACGCAAATGTAAAAAATGTTAATGCCATTATGAATTAGAAGTATAGACTCACCAATGTATTTTACACAATTTAGATAGTATTTTTTCGGCAGAATTATGACATGACGTCATCAATTTTTTGGGGGCATTTTGATTAAAAATTTACCATCTCTGCAATAACTTCAAAACGTCTGCAAGATTTCAAGGCATCCGGTTCTGCAGTCTTGATTTAATTAATAAAATAAATTGAGTCATTAATTTTTTTGCATCATTCAGTATAAGCAAATCAAAAAAATATTAATGCAATTGCAGTAATTTCAAAAGTGTGAGGTATACTTTTTCGAACGAAAAAAAAAGCAAATTAAGAATGAGAAACGATACTGCAAACAAAATTCAAGCGGCAGTGCTTTGTGCAGGTGGCTGGCTGCCTGGCTGCAAGTCACATTAGTGGAAATTATATTTACATCACATTACCAACGGGAATAGTGGTATCGAGAAATATGCGTAGTTCAGATGTTTATGTTTATACATCGGAAGAATGTCACGTAAACATTTGTTTTATTTGAATGAGTTTATCGCCTCAAAACATATGACTAAAATTATTAATAACTCTCAATTAAACAAAATATTCTGAATGTTACTATTAAAATTCATATCTTATCAATAAAG